GATGGACTCCATGAAAATAGGTCAACATTATTCTTTAGTAACTATAACATTTGTTCTTTGTGGTTGAGCTTGGCCCCTGTTTGCATACATTTATTTATGTTATTTTCAAAGAATGGCATAAGTATGAGGTCATCTGCTAGTTTTGGTTAACTAATGCCAATTTTGAACTTTTGATAAATGATTTTTTTTGCTTATTTAGGTTAGAATTCTTTCTGACTAGAAAGATGAATCTCAATATGAGTGTTGACATAATTAATTTGTTAGCTCAGTAGAATAATGCATTTATTATAAAAAAGAGTTGAATAATTCAGTAAATGTAGTCATTTGTATTTATGGAACTAGCATAAAAGCTCAATTCGAATGAAATGACATTTGTGCCAACTACGGTATCAAAAAATCTTCAAAAGATATTTACAATTGGTAAGCTTAAGAGCTTAGTGTATTTAAAAATAGAATTTTTATTTCTCCCTAGTTTGGTTGATCTTCATACACTGGTTATTTGTCTTCTATCTCTTCAACTTTTTTAACTTTAACCTTTATCTCATCTCTGGCTTGGGGTTCATCAGCTTTAGTTGAGTTGTTAGTCTACTTTCTAGTCCTATCTTTCACGGTTATAACATAGCATTGCCATACTATGGATTAGTCTCTTCAGACTTCACAAATCCCATTAGAAGTAGGAAACTTGATCTTGAGATAAGGAGTTGAGCTAATAATTCTCATAATAGGCTAACTTGGTCTACCTAAAATCATGTTGTATGCTAAAAGACATCTACCACCATAAGTTCTATGATTGAGATGACACTTCTTGGCTCAGTGCCCAATGTGATCGATAATTTGATCATTTCTTTTACTAGCACCTATTTATTCTTAAAGCTGATCAAAGTGGTAATAAATGGCTTTAGCATCTCTTTAATTATCCCTATCTTTAGTATGGTTAGTAATACAAAACGTTGGTCAAACTCTAATTGTCAAATAGGATCCTCTTCACCGCATACTTTTAAACCACAGCTTAAAGTACAATGGCATCATTATGTTAGAACTAGATCCTTTCCAAATCTTTTGAGCTGAAGGAGATTGAATCATCTTTTCAACTTTTTTATTTTTTTACCAAGGACCCAATAGCCATGATTGTGCCCTAATCGAACTTTTTCTTAATCGACATCGAAATGTCCCCTAATCAAACTTTTTCTAATCACATTAATGATTCTTGTGATAAGCCTATTGTCCACATCATTTCTTTCTTTTTTCTTTTGTTGGGCATGCGGTCATCACCACCTCGATCTCATTTTTTTCTTCTATTTTTTTTGTTTCTCCCTATCTATTCTTTTTTATCTCTTTTTGAAATCCCTTCTCTTTTGTCCCTACCTTTTACGGTCTTCAAACCTATTCAGTCAACCTTTTTTTATCAGATTCTCTATTTCATTCATTAGGTCGATAAAATCCTCAGTATTGTGGATGTAATCTCTGTGAAAGACACATCTTTTCATCGAATCTCTTTGCTACTTTGCCTTAGTGGTTTACACCATTTGAGTTTGGGGTCCCTTTCAATTTGCATTAAAATCTTTTTTTTGAAAGTCTTCAGTGCAATATACTCATAGTGTCATCGGCTTGGACTTCTAGCCCTAATGTACCCCTTAGATTTTTTTCCTTTTTGGGGAATTGTTGATTTCTTTTTTGCTTCCTAAACCAAAGAGGGAGGATGAGCCTCTTTCACCTCGATTGCTTTTCATTATAGCTTCAGCATTAATGTATTTCTTGAAAATGAGTAGCACATTGGCCGAAGTCTTCGGTAGTTGTGAGAAGAGGGTGAGCTTGAAGTGGTAGCTAGGTTGCTCAGTCCACTTGTCAAGATAGCCATGGTAGCTACTTGTTTTAGATCCTTCACGTGTAGAGCCTTTAGCATTAAACATGTAATGTACTTTTGCAAGGATTCATTTTTTCCCTAATATATTAGTATTAGGCTAAGTGTCATTTTCTTTGTTCATCAGTTGCTATAAAATTAGGATAGGAAGGAGTGATTGTGCTATTTAAATGTAGTGATTGACCATAGCTTGAAGTTACTGTACCAAGACTGAGCTGCTTCCTTAAGAGTTATGACTAGCCCTTTGCACATAAGGGACTCATTAGCTCCTTATATTATTATGTTAGTGCATTAAAGCTTGTGGTGATTAAAAGGATTAAATGCACTGTCATAAGTCTCTAAGGTCGATATTTTGAATCCCTTAAGTGGTAGTGCTTAGTTTATCTCCTCGGTAAAAAGAAACGATTCCAAGAATCTTAGCTTGTTGTAAAAAATGGAGATGTTATTCTTCAATTCTTTTTCCATTGCCTCAATTCGAGCTTCTAAGTCTTTGTTAGGCTATGGTTTTAAGGTGGCTTGCTTGGACTTTTTGGGCTGTGGCCTATTTTAGAGTGTTTCTAGGGTAGTGGGTCATTGATGTTTGATCCTCATCTAACAACAACAAGGTAGCAATGTCATCGTAGGTTGAAAATTGTTGTGTCAGTGGGTTCTTGGGAGTTGTTGGATTTGGTGCTTTCGAAGTTTGTGGTAAGGTTAGGTTTTGAACTGCTCTACTATTGGGACTATTGTCGTACATCGGTCTAGATTTGGTTTGCTGAGCTAGGTATCAATCCCATCTATAGCAAGTTTTCCTTCCTCAACTGCTCTTTTTCTTGGTGCCATTTTAGCTTAGCTAATTCAGAATATCCCTTATCAAGTGCGACAAAATATTTGTGCTGAGTTGTCCATGAAGGTAAAACCCTAAAAACATAAGAAAGAGGATCGGTTAACAATAAAAGGTGAGAGTTTTCTTGGTGTTTGTACTCCTATACTCAATTCAGTGCTCGGTCAAGAAGTAAGAATGAGGATAAAATGGAATGTGAACTCGAAATCTAAGAGTTTTAGTTGGTTTAGAAGTACCTAAATGGGGCTACTTATACCTATGTGATGGGAGGCCTTGGGCCTAAGTGGCTTGAGGTTGGTGCAGGGGGACTAAAGCTGACCTCGTAAGCTCGAGTTGAGCTGATAGTTGACGATCCATTTGGGATAACAAATTAGCATTCTCATGTGTCAACAGATGGGTAGTTAAGGTGGTTAAACTAATGTAAAATCCAAAATTTCAAGTCGGTCCGACGTATCAACTCAATCAAAATGATCAAAATATTTTTGCTTGTCAGTTAATTTATACTCTAGCAAAAAAATCTATTTTACTCTTTAAATACTAAAATGTCCTGAACAAAAACTTTCTTGTTTTTTTTATTGAGATATAACTTCATGTTAGGACTTTAAAAACATCCCATAAAGAGTTTGGTTTTTTTCAAAACAGGTTGGTCCTATTTGGAATGTGATTTGAATGCGGTAATTAACAAGCATAAACATATTAAAAATCACTACTTGCTTTGGTTTCTTCACTTTTTTTTAGATGAATAGTTGAAAATGAATACCTTAAAAAAAAAAAAAAACCGTAAATGGTAAAAGCTTATTGGGATTTCAACACGAAAGATGAATTACTTGGAAATTTCCCTATAATGTTAAAGAGAAAAAAGAAACTGTTGAAAATCTTTTGCTTTTGCCATACACAAGTTGTGACTTGTTCCAAGCTCAGGATTTTTCCACCAGATTTACTTGAAATATTTCTAATCTTAACATAATTAAATAATCCCTATCTATCTAATTTATTTATCTATCTGTCTCTAATAATACATTAAACGGATTATGAAACATGTATAATTTTTATTTTTGTAATTTTTTCCTATTAACCCAATTGATAGTACAAAACGACATCATTTTCTCCATATCTTTTTTAAAATTTTTCAAACAAAAAATATTTTTCTCTTCAAGTCTCTAAACTACCATTTTCTTTTTTATATTTTAACTTCTAAAAAATTTTTTGAGAAAATAAAAAAAATTTAATGTGAGAAAAATACATCAGATCTTCAAGTGCCCAAGACTCGAGGTGACTCTAAAATTTAGGCTGCCTTTGGAATGGACCGCAACATTAGTAAGGTGTGATTACTTCCATTTTTGTTCTCTTTTTCCTCTCAAATTGCACCGTAGCTTTGTTTGGATAATTTTTTTCGGTGAGATTAATTTCACCATTTCTCCGGTTGATGATCGGGCCTTTCAAAGTGCAGTGGAGAACCACGACTCCAGTGGGATTTTATTGACTATAATGCCCATTCTTTTCTTTTGTATTTCCTAAAGCGTTGTAACATTTTTTTTTTGTTTTTAAATTTGTTTATTTTGTTATATGTTTTATATTTATATTTAAGATTAATTGTTTAAATATCATTTGTAATTGTACTATATTTTAAATATTAAATATTTTGAAGTATTTTATAATTTTAATATTTAAATTTTTAATTATATTTTAATATAAAATAACATGCATAAAATTTTTATTGAATAAAATTTTTAAAATTTTATTTGATATTAAAAATAATTTAAATAAATTCTAATAAATTATTAACTCAAAAATGTAAAAAATATATTAAAATTTTATTATATACAAATTTTAACCTAATATTTTTAATGATTATTTATATTCTCATTACAATTCAACTTTTCATAACTGTTACGATTGCATTCAAACATATATTTTTATAATTGATTTTAATATCATCACTATAATAACTAATTTCATATGCATCATTATTTTTAATTTCATCGAAATCATTATTATCGTCCATTCAAATGCATCATTCTCTTTTTAAAATTTCAAACTAACATTATTTTTATATTTTAACTTCTATAAAAAAATTTTATATTAAAAATCTCATCAAAATCAATATTATCGTTCATCTAAATATACTATTCTCTTTTCAAAATTTCAAATTAATATTATTTTTATATTTTAACTTCTATAAAAACCTTTTATGCTAGAAATGACATCAATTTATCTAGACAATGACATTTCCCTTATTTAGGCAAGTGAAAGAACTGAGAATTTATCCAATTCCAAGCAAGCGTTTAAGCTTTTCTAAAGCACAAGATACGCAAGCAAATTTCTAAAAACAACCCCTAGCAAAAATAATACTCACTACTTAATAAATAATTAATTTTACTACTCTTTTTTTAAGAGAATAATAATATTACTACTCATAAATTAATTAGGGACTATAAATCAATACTTACAAAGGTGCCCTTCGACCCTCTACAATTTTTTTCATATTCAATCAAGCCTTATTATTTCTAAATAAATTCGTCAATTGAGTCATATTGACTCGTCAACCCACTCGTCCGAGACTATAACGCCGTCAGCATCCAACAAGTATCCACGTCAGATTCCGTTAAGTTCCTTAACGAAGAGCTCACCTTCCTCATATCACCCACGGTTAGCTTCCCCGTCACGTCACCCCTGATGTAAACCTTCTCGACGTCGTCGACATTGAAAGCTGCGATTTTCTCCTCGGATTTTTTCGGCCTCAATTCTGCTAGAATCGCCGGTAACCGACAATAAAGGCGCGTGTCCCACGAACGGACAGCAACTCGTCGAGATGACCAGTCAGTGCCGGCGGACAAAACAACTGAGGACGACGATGAAGGTGCTGAAACCACCTGAAAGTTTGCCTTCCCTCCAAAAATTGACGTGAGTGTCGTTTCTTTGTTAACGTCGTAAACGTTTATAACATTGTCGCTTTCATCGAGGCCCAAATTTAACCCTAACCCAAGGTTGTCCCACAGCTTCACCACACTTTTTCCGCTGGTTAGCTCATGAGCCCAAGAAAACATATCCCCGATGCTGCTTCGCCTGTTTCGCAGGGTAAAATTACAGTTTTGCCACTGGTCGTCGATAACATGACCCGAGCCTCTAACCCGAAAATCCTCATCAACTTGTCGCCAGTTCTGAGAAATGGACGGCTCCTCATATTCTTGTTCGTCGTCCGATGATGGGCAGGATGAATCCGTGTCAGTGTCAAAATCTGTTTCATAAAGAAGAGTTTGGGATGGTAAAGTATGGCCTCGTCGGAATCTGAGGATCAAAATCTTGAGTCTATTGATTAGGGGAGTTAATGAGGCTACTAGCGTAAGAATTAAAGCTCCCCACTTCCAAAAACTATAAGCTTGGTAGATTTTCTCAATCCCGGAAAGCGCATAAACTTGAGAAAGGAAAGTTGGGTTGTTTAGGGAGCTTATGCCCGCTTCAAAATCGCTTATTCTTTTGATAACTGGAGTCAACATGACCTTTATCCAAACACTGCCTTAACTTCGATCTCAATCTATCTAAAAAGAAAAAAAATGGTTAGAGCCTCGGAGAGTATAAGAACAGAAAGAGATAAGAGAGTTGAAATTGAAGAAGAGGAGGCTTGCGAAGGTGATTTAGCTGGGGTTTTAAAGGCGAGAGTGGCTATTGCACACACAATATAAAGAAATGAAGATGTAGTGACATGGCAGATAACAATTGGTCATGTGGTAGAGAATATTCGGGCCGCGTCAGAAAAGAAAACGAGGCTTTTTCGGTACGAGAAACAGATTGGGATGGGATGGATGAGTAAGCAAAGCATCGGCCAAAAATGATTTGTTTCAGTAAACTTTTTGAATTACTTAATAGAAGCTCTTTTGATGAGTCAGTTGATCAGAGGGAGGAAAAGTGTTTAGTTTTTAAATTTGTCGTCGAGACTTGAAATTGAAGAAGAGGAGGCTTGTGAAAGTGATAAAGCTGGGGTTTTAAAGGCGACAGTGGCGATTGCACACACAATATAAAGAAATGAATGTGTAGTGACATGGCAGATAACAATTGGTTATGTGGTAGAGAATATTCGGGCCACGTCAGAAAAGAAAACGAGGCTTTTTCGGAACGAGAAACAGTTGGGATGTGATGGATGAGTAAGCAAAGCATCGGCCAAAAATGATTTGTTTCAGTAAACTTTTTGAATTTCTTACTAGAAGCTCTTTTGAGGAGTCAGTTGATTAGAGGAGGAAAAGATTTAGTTTTTAAATTTATCGTCCTCAAAATTTTGGTCTGTTGGATGCGGTGGCGGTCAACACAAAATAATGGAAGAATTTGTGGTGGTCAGATCAAAGACAGTTATTCCACCGTTATGATTTCGACACGTGGTGACAGCGCTTTCGCTTGCAACATATCTTTTTTCAAAACCTGTCTGCCTATTGCCTCAATGATTTGGTTTTTGTTTTTGTGGGAAGTCACGGTCGCCGCCTTGCACCACCACCACGAGGTGCTTGATACAGTACGGAAGTTGGCGATGAAGGGAGGTCAAGACGGAAGGCTAAGAATGGGCATAAGTGAGATGAATGGGCATAAGTGAGATGGATTGGTGGGCACGTCAAGTGCTCTAAGAAAAAGTAAATAAGGTATTTTAATTTTATATTATACATGAAAGAAAGGTTATCGAAATATAAAAAAAATTTATATTATTCTTTTTTATAAAATATTTTTTGTAAAATAAAATTATAAAATGAGAAAATTATAAAATGAGAGAGGTTAGAATGAATAATATTTTATAAGAATATGAATCATGATAGTTAAATTGATTTAAAATATCATATGAAATAAATATGGTAATCAATTTTTATAACAAAGACGTCATGCGATTAGATAAAAAAAAAATCACAATCAAGCGTTCTAACGAGAGTAAGCAAGGTATTTTAATCTCATATTAAACATGAAAAAAGGTTATTAAAATATAAAAGATTTACATTATCTCTTTTTTATGATATACATTTTATAGGATAAAAATTAAAGTAAATAATATTTTATAAAAATGTGAACTATGATAATTAAATTAATTTGAGATATCAAATGAATATATATATTTTAATCATAAAAATATACAAATATAAAAATTAAATTTTGATTCGTGACATTTACATCTGATAAAGATATCTTTTTTGCTCATTTCATACTTGCTAGTATGAAATCTTGATTTTAATGGCTTAAAAAAATTCCTTTCTTTTTTTAATCTGAAAAAGGATGATGAAACAAATTTCTTGAGTAAAGATACATGTTCTTGTTATTATCTATTTAATTTATAAAAATTAAAATTAAAAAAAATTATGCATTAATTATCGAGCTTTTTTTTTTTTTTTTTGCGAAATTATGCTAAATGCTTGAATTATTGCACATGTATCTAATTGAGTCGAAGTGTCGTAGGACTAGCCCAACTCAACATTATTTGGGCTTGGTCATAAAGTTGTAGGCCCAAGTTTGGTTTTACTTGATTAAACGATATTATTAATAAATAATATATTTTTATTTAATTTTAATTTTAAAAAATATATTTTTGTCATCAATTTTAAAATATCAAAATATTACTATAAAAATAATACATTCTTACTTCATTAATAATATTCTAATAATTAATGCTAATAAAATTTTAACTCGACATTAAAAAGAAAAGATTTTAAAATTTTAAAATTTTAAGTTCAAAGTTTTTTATGTACAAATTTAATTGTTTAATTAAATTATAATTTATTAATAATTATTTAATAATAAATAATTATATAAATATAATATTTAAATATAAATATAATTTTAAAAAATAATATTATAATAATTAATGAACATGTTAAATCGATATAGACCAAGTAGATCGATCAAAGTTTGATCCGACTCAACTATAATCATTTATTCTTCTTAAAAACATTTTAGTCGTCATTATCCATGCAAATCACATCTTCAATTCCTTGGTCTTTAGTAATAGATAAAGTTTTGAAATCTTTTTTAACTATAAGTTAATTAATTTTGTCATAAACAAAAAGGTCGGTGGGCCATGGTCCCCACTACGAACGGACTTCTTTGATGCTTAAAAAATAGGGAAAAGAAAAAGAAAAAGAAAAGTAAATTAATGGTCGGAGGTGGGTTCCATTTGTTGTTCAATGATTAGGTAAGCGATTATTGCTTCAACATTGGCATATTATTATTATTATTATTATTATTATTATTATTAATTGATGTTACATCCACCCCACAATGGTGATAAAAAATGGAGATTCTAATATTATATAGCTACAAAAAGATATTAACATAAGTATTCGAATTATTTGTTGCTTAAAAAAAGAGTATTTTATTTTTGGGAAAACAAAAGTATTTGAATGCTTGAATGAGTGACAAATGCGTATTGGAACCATTACTGTACAGACATTCAAAAACAAACAAGAATAATGCAAGTATTAGAACCATTATCTCTACTGATTGTATCTCCAATTAGCAATGAAAGTTCTATTTGATTACAAAATAAAGCATTCCACAAAAAAGAAAAAAGGAATAAATAACTACTACATATAGAAAGTGGCTTCAATTTTAAAGCCATTAATAAATTTATCTCAAGGGTTTACGGGTGTCGTCTTACAATTATGCTTAAAGACAAAGCCTTGTTGTCTTTTGTTTTTTTGTTTTTTTTTTTTTTTTTGGAGCATTTTACTTTTAATTTTTTTATTATAATTTTGTAATTATTTAATTATAATAGAAAATTTTGTAAGGATCAATCAATTATAAGTGTAGACCCTACATAACATGTTAGTGGATCCTAAATAATTTTAAATTTTAATTGATTAATTGTAATATAATTATTATAAATTATATGTTCTTTTTTCAGCTTATAAATTTAAATTGTTTTGATAGATAATTTTAAATTTTTGTAAAAAATATTTAAAATACATCAATTCAAAATAATAGCATTTGTAATTGTAGTGTTTGGATAAGAAAAGGAATTTTGAATATTGAAATTTAATAACATAAAAAATAACTGTAATAAACAAATAACAATTTAAAGATAAAAAATTTTGAAAAAATATAATGTGAGTGTCATTAGATTTGTATAAATGTATAGCTATCACCAAATAAGTTTTTGTAGTTAAAATTAAAAAAAATAAAAGTTAGTTAAAAAAGAAACATAATTCATATTGATTTCTTACAAAAGATCAAGGAAATTCTCAAAGGTGGAATTTGAAAATAGAATTTAATTTCTCTAATATCTTTCATTCAAAGTATAAGAAATTTGACAACGTATCTAAAATTTTTGACAATTTTAATTTTAACTTTGTTAAATAAAATAATTTCATTTTAAAATTTAAAAAATTTCTTTATAGAGAAAATTTCATTACTAAAACACCCTTTAATAATACTCTTTTACCGACATTCCTATTCGGTCTATTAAATTGACATGCAAGCCTTTTTGACACATTTAACACGGTCCTAGACGAACTAAATCGTAAATAGATCTAGAGGCAGGCTTGCATTTTGATGTGGGTTTTTTTTTTTTTTTATCTGAAGTTATTAACATACAAAGAAATTAATATATACAAAGGAATTAATATATAAAGGAATGAATTGTAAAATTTCATTAAATTTGCAACTTTTTATAATAGTTGGTTATTTAATTTTTTTTTATATTTTATATAACGATAAATTTTATTGTTGTAAATTCTTATTAATTTGGCAACGGTAAAAAAATCATTATGAAATTTTATTATATTTACAATAATTTTTATCGTTGACTAATTAAGTTTTTTTAAATATTTTATATAATAACAAAATAACTATTATGATATCTTTATTATATTCATAATAATAAAAAAATTGTATCGAAATATTATCTGATTTGTAATAACTTTTTATAATCATTGTAAAATTAAAATTTATTGTTGCAAATCACTATCACATATGCCTAAAAATGTCATTTTAAAATTTTATTATATTTATAGCAATTTTCATTATTGTTGCCTAATTAATATATTTTTTAATATTTTTAAAATAACAAAATTTATCATTATCATTACAAAATGACAGTATATTTGCAATAACTTTGTCTAGTTGCTGCCCAATTAAACATTTTTTTTTAGTGTTTTATTGAACAGAAAAAAAATTGTTGCGAAGACCCTTATTATATTTGCAACACCTTTTCTTAATCATTATTTTATTAAAATTTATTTGATGTTTTATATTTGTACAACAAAAAAAAAAGCAAAATGTAATTATATTTGCAATAACTTTTTCAACAATTACTTTATTAGAATTTATTTAAATGTTTTATATAATAACAAAAAATATATATTACTTAGTAAAATTATAACAAAAAAATTATAAAATTTACTATATTTCTAATAACTTTTGTGTAAATTGTTTTTCTTGTAACGATAAACTTTATCTATCATATTTCTCATTCATTTATTTCTTATATGAATTTCTTTCGTCACTCTTTGTTAAATTAAAAATATATTTTTAATTTAAGTAAAATATTTATAATGTTTTAACTTAATTTTTTTTGTATATTTGAGTATTGGCTAGTTTGAAGTATAACTATAATATTTACTTACTCACAAAGGTTGGTCCAGTTAGTAAAGAAGTTCAAGTTTTCTTAATTAGGTTTTGATCACTGTTAGAATTTGCAAGAATATAAAATTATAAATGCGCCAAATCTATATAAAACAATACACGTTTAAAATTATTCTAAAAGATATTAAATTTAAGTAAACCTTGAGAATACCTTTGATTTTATTGTAAAACAAAATATATTTATTTATTCTTTACAATGTAACTTACTAACTCGTAAGAAGTATATTCAAAGTTATACCATATTAAAAAATTGAAACTAAATAATTCAATATTATTAGTTTATTAGTTATATCTTAATAGTTATTAATTAAAAAAATTTATTTATATTTTAATTTGACTTAAATTTAAAAATAATTCATCTTGTAGATACCAAATTTGTTCAAATTT